CCAACTCCTGGGCTTAGGTGATTCTCTTGCCTCAGCCTCCCGAGTAGCTGGGACTACAGGCACCCGCCACAACACCCAGCTATTTTTTTGTTGCAGTTTGGCCAGGGCCAGGTTTGAACCCACCTCCCTCAGTATATGGGGCCAGCACCCTACTCACTAAGCCATAGGCACTGCCCAAGAGATTTTTTCTTTTTTTTTGGCCAGGGCTAGGTTTTGAACCTGCCACCCCCAGCATATGGGGCCAGTGCCTTACTCCTTTCAGCCATAGGCACCGCCCTGGATGATGCCATTTTTATGAAATATTCAGAATAGGGAAATCCATAGAAACAGAAAGTAGTTTAATAGCAGCTAGGAGGTCAGGGGAATGGATCAAGAGTTTCTTCTGGGGTGATGAAAATGCCCTAAAATAAGGCAGGGGTGATGGCTGTTTAACTCTGGGAATACATTAACAACCAATGAACTGTATATTTAAAGGGGTGAATTTTAGGGTGGGTGAATTTTAGGGTATGTAAATTATAACTCATGAAATCTTATTACTTAAGAAAAGCTTTATGTTTTGTTAGTTCCTTAAAAGTATGTGCTATTTTTTTTAAACTTTAATCATCATTAACAGCTCTCTGAAATACACCATAATTCCATTCATAAAATAAAAACACCAAAGCTCAAAAATGTTAAAGTATCTAGCCCTGTGTTTCTCAGCCTTGGCATTATTGACATTTTGGGGTACGTTAATTCTTTGTTGTGAGGTACTGCCTTGTGTATTACAGAATTTTTAGCCATATCCCTGATCTCTACCCAACTAGATGTTGGTAGCATATTTCTTTCCTTCCAACCAGCAGCATAAAAACCAGAAATTCTCCAAAATTGTCAAATGTCTCTTACAGTGCAAAATCACTCCTCCCCGAGAACTACTGATCTAGTCTAAGGTTTCATAGCTACGAATAGAAGGGTAGGTTTTCAACATAAATCTTTTAATTCCAAATCTTGAGTTCTTTATACTCTACTGGCTAATTTCAAACTGTGCTACTTTTCCCCATCCCAAAATTAACTTCTCTCTCAAGTTTCTTGGCTGCCAGCAGACTGTCTTACTTAAAAATTGGGGTTCTAGAATGGGCATGGTGGCTCATGCCTGTAATCCTAGCATTTTAGGGGGACAAGGTGGGAGGATCACTTGAAGCCAGGAGTTCAAAACCAGCCTGGGCAAAAGTGAGACCTCTGCTATATCTACAAAAATAAAATAAAATAGGCCAGATGCAATGATGAGTGCCTGCAATCCCAGCTACCTGGAAGGCTGAGGGAGGAGGATCCCTTGAACCCAGAAACCCAAGGTTGCAATGAGCTATAACACCAGTACACGCTAGCCTAGGCAATAGAGTGAGACATGTCTCAGGGAAAAAAATATAATTGGGAGTTCTAAACAGGATTTTATTTGAAAAAGGACCTCTCTGCTTAAAATAATAAGAAATAAAGAAATCATTTAATTCCCTGCAGATTACAACGCTATAATGTTTATTAAATAAAATGGGTCGAAATTAAGGTATATTATGCTTTAGAAGTCCTTTTAGAACTTTCTTTATATTGGCAAATCCTTATTCTTTGAGAGATCAGGGTTGTCTGATTCTGAGCCCAAATATTACATTTATAAATACAATAGAACCTCCATAGTTGACCACCTCCCTACACTGACCACCTCCTTAAGTTGACCTAATTTTCATAGACTGGACATGTACCACACGTACATGTCAGTACAGGAGGCCTGGTTCCTTATGTTGACCACCTCTGTATGTTGACTAGTATGTATGGTCCCTTGGGTAGACAACTTACAGAAGTTCTACTGTATTAGTGTTTAGAATCCCAAAAATCAAGTGCAATTTTTTTGGCTTAGCTGTATGTAAGACAAAGTAGGAAGAATTTTAAAAAAATCCTTTAGGAAAAAAATAGGTGATTCATTTTTCTATCCCAATTGTTGTAAGAACTTCAAGGATATAAAGAGTACTTTAAGTGGAATAAATAAATATAATAACTGAAGGCATAAGTGTACTCAATCCATGTGACTGAGTGTGTACATATAGAAGAGAAAGATGGACATAAGCCTTTGGCTATCAGAATTTTTACTCCTGGAATAGTATCACATGATCTCTCCCTTCTAGAACACTCTACTTTAAAATTTAAGTTTAGCGTTCCTCAGAAAGGGAGTTTCATAATTGCAATGTTTACACATTTCTCTCTCCACACATGATTAAAGGCTTCTTGTGGCATGGACTGTCACTCATCTATCACCTAGTACTTACCATGCAGCCCAAACATGCACTCAATAAATGGTTGTTGAAATGAAGGAAAATATCTATGGAAAAAACAGTGAGATCATGGAGCTCAGCATGAAAGATTACTTTCCATACTTCAGAGATAATTTGTTTTTGAAAACATTATTTATGAAAGTAAGTTCCTAGTTATTGGGCAAATTTAAGAACTTCATTTACTTAGCTGGTATTCTGAATACATGAATCAATGTAACTTTGTATCAAGTGAGTCCCAATGACATAGGTAGTCCACTTTTTAATACATGCAATTTCTGGGAACTGTCTTAAAGAAAACTACCTTGTTTTACTGAGACTGTCATAATAAGGAATCTAATGATGCAAATGTACTTAATCCTAACAATGTGCTTACAATTGTTCATATCAATTCCAAATGGGCAGTAGAAAGCAGCTGCAGAGTGAAGATTGTTCTGCCTGTGGCTTTATTACACAGCAACAGAAAAAGAAGATTAAAAGAGCCTTTAGTGAAATAAATGTATTCCTAAAACAAAATGTCAATGGTGATAATTTTCTACCCAGTGAACAGCAGATCTTGACATGAAACCACTAGCCTCTAACTAATAAAACTGTAATCATAGGACTATATATACTTCCGTCATAGCACTTGCCACACAATTTAGAAAAATAAATACAAGTTGTTCTAGGTCTCTTCTTACACATCAGTTTTCCAAGATATGGTTTAAAAAAAGAGCTTAGCAAAGGTCTGGAGATAGAGGATGCTGACAGAGAAGAGACTGTGAACCCACTGCTGAAGTCTTTAAACACTAGAATACTCAATTTTATGGACATGTGACAGATACTAATTCTAATTTTGCCACTGGCTGTAAAGAATTCACCATTTCTGCACCTCTGAGGAACTAGGAGATTGGACTGCATTATCTCCATGGTTCATTTTTACAGATCTATAGCTTGCTTACACAGCATATTATAATTTTTAAAGATGTAATTTCCAAAGGAGGAATGAGCAGCACCAGAGTGAGGAACAAGATCCAAAGGTGAAAACAAAGAGAGAGAGAAACATGGGGGAGGGAAGATGTGATGAGAGAGAAGGAAAAAGACACAGTGATAATTCTAGTAGTCCTTTACTAACCTGCCGAATGTAGAGCTTGAACTCTTTCCAAGTACTCATTTATTTTTTCTTGAATACGTTCTAGGCTTGATCCTGCCATTTCAGCATAAATTAAGGCTTGCGCGGCTTCCTAGAAGTAAAAAAAAGAATTCAAAGGAATCCAACAGAAGTACTATAATTTGAATTTTCTTTACTGCTTTCTAATTTACTAGTGGTTTCCATGAATGACAACATAAGAATGTCTTTAGAAATCAGCATTTTTTCCATAAAGAAAATGAGTTTTATAATCCTCCAATACCCATTCTTCAGTTTTCAATGCTCTCAATTTTCACATACTGTTGAAAACTTATGAACTTGAGTATAAGGGACACATTATAAACATTTCTTCAGAACAGCTGTGGTTTACATGTTTTCTATTTTCCTTATGTATCAGAATTAAGATTATATACTTTAAAAATGTGAATTAAAAGGCGGAACCTGTGGCTCAGTGAGTAGGGCGCTGGCCCCATATACTGAGGGTGGCGGGTTCAAACCCAACCCCGGTCAAACTGCAACAGCAACAACAACAAAAAAATAGCTGGGTGTTGTGGCAGGCGCCTATAGTCTCAGCTACTCAGGAGGCTGAGGCAAGAGAATCACCTAAGCCCAAGAGCTGCAGGTTGCTGTGAGCTGTGATGCGACGGTACTCTACTGAGACCAACAAAGTGAAGACTCCGTCTCTAAAAAAAAATGTGAATTAAGGGTGCCCCTGTGGCTCAGTGGGTAAGGCACCAGCCCCATATACCGAGGGTGGTGGGTTTGAACCCAGCCCAGGCAACAACAAAAAATAGCCAGGCGTTGTGGCAGGTGCCTGTAGTCCCAGCTACTCAGGGGCTGAGGCAAGAGAATTGCCTAAGCCCAGGAGTTGGAGGTTGCATGAACTGTGACACCACAGCACTCTACTGAGGGTGATAAAGTGAGATTCTGTCTCAAAAAAAAAAAAAAAAGTGAAATTAAGCCTTCAAAGCACCAGAACAAATAATAAACAATAATATTAAATTAAACATCAAGAAAAGATTATAAGAAATTATAAAGATTAAATATCTCACAGTAGAAAGAAAATATTCGTCGCCACAGAAAAGGGATGATACAGTTTAAGGAAGACATGATGTATAAGAAATAAACTTATGTCAGCTTGGCACCTGTAGCATAATAGTTAGGGCGCCAGCCACATACACTGAGGCTGGTGGGTCTGAATCTGGTCCAGGCCAGCTAAATAACAATGACAAGTGCAACAACAACAACAACAACAACAACAAAAGGCCAGGCATTGTGGCAGGTGCCTATAGTCCCAGCTACTTGGGAGGCTGAGGCAAGAGAATTGCTTAAACCCAAGAGTTGGAGGTTGCTGTGAGTTGTGACACCATGGCACTCTACTGAGGGTGACATAATAAGGCTCTGTCTAAAAAAAAAGAAAGAAATAAACTTATGTATCAACATAAGAAAACCTAGCTGCTTCTTCCAGTTATCCATAACTTCTATAGCCAGTTATGCTATGGCTAGCTGGAAGAGTTTCCATTCTCCCCGTCACCATTCCTGTAAGGTTATCAATGCTACCACCTAGAAAAGCAGAAAGAGATTTTTCCAAGTAACAGCACTTTCTCTGCAATAACCCACTCATATACACTGCATGGGGCCTCCAACTTGAAGCCATCTACTTAGCATCACTTTTTGAATCTAGTTATTTGAACAGGCGTTATTTTACTCAACCTAAAACAAAAATTCTGAAAGAAAAGTTCAGTTCTGATTTTAGTTGAAATTCAGTCTAAAGGCTATAGAGGTTAAAAAAATGCCTTCCTCAGATTTCATAACTCAGATATTTTAGGATGGAAAAATATATATTTACATGTAAACATTAAATGATGGTATCTTACATGCCATCATTAACTAACTATATTGTAGCTATACTTAACTTCAATAAATTGTTACATATATGTTATATTTGAATATATCATGTAAGTATATAATATATACTACTACTTCAATTATCTTGTAAGCAATTATTGATTTTCAAATAGTTTTGCTTAAAAAACAAAGTCAATTCTTAAAATTGCTAGTATCAATTTTATTTTAAGCATTTAATTTATACTTACAAGAAACTAACAATTAAAGAATTATTTAAAATTCAGTATCATGGCAGAAAACACAATACAGTAAACTGGCAAAGTTTATATAAATAATTTCTAGAGATATAAACCACTTTTTTTCAAGGATAAAAATTCTTCCTGAGTGACATATGTAAACCTATAGGAAAACAAGAGACACAGCATAATATTTATTTTGTTTTAGAAAAATGTGTATTTATATGGCATTGTTTTGATGTATTAGTAGTTGATGAACCAATATTAATGTCAGTTATGTCAAAAAACTAAAATGTCCAGTTTTTCTTTTAAAGAAATATCAAAGAATATCAATTTCTCTTAAAGAAATTGTCCAAGAAGTCCAAAAGGAGTAAATCTGGAATGCAACAAAAGTCTCCAAAGGTCATAAAAAAAGGCAATAAAATATTAATTTCAAGCAAATCATACTTTACTGATAGTGCATGCTTATGGAAAAAATTACTACTACCATGCAGAATTATCAAAATCTGACATTCTTTCTAAAAAAGATGACAATATCATGAGAATACCGCTACCACCACAACTGGCTAGAGCTGGAGGGGTGTGTTTGCACATCCTCAGGGTTGGAGAGCAGAGGGAGGACTATGGAAGCTCATGTACCCTTTGATTTAGCAATTCTGTCCCCATTAATTTATTCAAAAGAAATAAGAAGCAAATGTGCCAAGGCATTATTTACAAGCATACTAACTATACCATTGTTTATGATGCTAAAAAACCAGAAGGAACCTAAGTGCTTAATAATTTACAAATAAGTTATGGTACATCCACATAATGAACTGTTATGCAGCTATTACGTAGAACCTCTGTAAGCTGACCACCCAAGGGACTGCAATAAACTCATCAGCACATGGAAGAGGTCAACACAAGGAACTTCCATTGAATACATGGGGTGTATGTCCAGTCTATAAAAATTAGGTCAACTAAGAAGGTTCTGCTGTCTTACTAAAAGCAGTACAATCCAAGTTTGTTAAAAAAAAAAAAAATATATATATATATATATATATACATACACATACATATAATACACACACATATGCACAGAAAAACTGCAAAGATACATAGATATGCTCTGCATAACAACCTTTCAGTCAAGGACAGATCACATATGCCAATGGTGGTTCCCTAAGATTATGATAGGGCTGAAAAATTCCTATTGCTTAGTGATGCTGTAGCAACCGAGCATGTGACTGCTGAATTGTCAGAGATTGGGCCGGCGAAGGCAGGTGTCTGGTCCAAGCTTCTGGTCCAAATACACATTTCTCATGTATTTGTGGCGATGGTGGTGCAAACAAACCTGTGACACTGCCAGCTGTATAAAAGTCTGGCACATACAATTATGTACAGTATGAGTAGCATAATATTGCACTTGATAATAAACCACGATGTTCCTGGTTTATATATTTGCTACACCATACTTTGAATTATTATTTCAGAGTGTGTTCCTTTTCTACTTATACATAAAAAAAGTTAACCATAAAGCAACCTTAGGCGGGTCCTTCAGGAGGTATTCCATAAGGAATTATTCTCACAAGGGTTGACAGTGCCATGCAGGTTATTGCCCCTGAAGACTGTCCCGTGGGACAAGGTATGAAGGTGGAAGACAGTGATACTGATGATTCATTCTGACCCTGCGTGGCCTGAGACTAATGTGTATTTTTGGGTTAGTTTTTAACAAAAAAGTTTAAAAAGTAAAAAGAAAATAGAAAAGCCTTACAGAATATGGACAGAAAGAAAATGTTTTTGTGCAGCTGTACAATGCGTTTAAGGTGTTACTACAAAAGTTAAAAAGGTAGGAAGAGTTGAAAGTTTAAAAAGTAAAAAGTTACAGTAAACTAATGTTATCGAAGAAAGAAAAAAATGTTTTGGTGTAGCCTAAATGTTTGTGAAGACTGTGACAGTGTACAATCATGTCCTAGACCCTCACATTCACTCACTAGTCATTCACTGACCCGCCCAGAACAACTTCCAGGCCTGTAAGTTCCATTCACGGCAAGGGTCCTATACGAGTGTACCATTTTTATTTTTTATATGTATTTTTACTGTACCTTTTCTACGTTTAGATACACAAACACCATTGTGTCAAAACTGCCTACAGTATTCAATACACCAACATGATGTACAGTTTTGTAGCCTAGAAGCAATAGACTATACCACAGAGTCCAGGTGTGTAACAGGCTATATATCACCCAGGTTTGTTTAAGTACATTACGATGTCACAAAAAGACAAACTCGCCTGACACATTTCTCAAAAAGTATCCTCCTTCCTAACAAGGAAATACTTTACATCAAATGCTAGGGTAGGAGATGATTTTTGTTCCATTTTATTTTTTGTCTGCAGGAACACGTATTTTAATATGTATTACAAACCATTTCCTGCTGGCCATGAATCAGAGCCAAGTGACAAAACGAATGGCTATTAACCACTGCTCCATAAGCAGCTCAACGGAGGGCATCTGACAGCCAAGACTGCAGTCTGAGAAGCGGTGGCTCCGAAGCCACAACTAAGCCTCCTCACAGCCGCAGGAGCCCTGGGGGGTGTGGGATGTGCCCGGTCGTTGCAGCCCGGTCTCCTCCATGCAGAAGAAGTGGAGGAAAAGGGAGGGAAGGAGGAGAGACAGGGAAGGCCACAGCCGGCGGGCCTGGTCAGCTTGACACCTGCCCCTCAGCCTCGGACCCCTGCCGAACACGGACTCCGGTGGTTCCTCCCGAAGCGGCGGCCCGGGCCCTACCTTGTAATAAAACACAGCCTCCGAGTAGCGGCCCTCGTGGTCGCGCTGTACCGCCAGGCGGGCGAACTGCACCGCGTCCCGCTCCAGCGCCGTTGCGTCCATGTCACTGGGGGAGAGCGAGGCCCTGACGCAGGACGACTGCTCGCGGACTGCGGCGGCCGGGGAGCCGCGGAGAGGACTCGGGAGCGCCGCGGAAGGGGCGGGAAAGTTTACTTTCGGCAGTGGAGGGAACAGAGCTTGCTTCCCTTTTCCGGTCCAGGACAGCTGCGACGCCGCGCCCCCCTAGCGCAGCCCGCAGGGCAGCCCAGCTTTCGCCGCCGCCACGTCCTTCGCTCCGCCCACTGGTCGCGTTGCGCAGGCGCAGCCCGGCCCCAGGGGGTTCCTCCGGAGCTGCTCCAGAGAGCGGGCGGCTGAGGCCAGGAGGGCGGGTGCCGGGTGGGGCGCGGGGGGGAGGGGGGGAAGGCGGGGAGTACAACGGAGCACGTGACCGTCGAGTCGCCGGAGATTGGACCGGCTTAGGCAGGCGTCTGGTCCAGGCTTCTGACGCTTCTGCCTTCTGCTTGGAAACGTTGGTGCGGGTGGAGGCTGTTGCTGTGGGCGCTTGCCACGACAGGAGCATGCGCCTTAAAGAGCCTTTTCTATAGTAAGTGTAAAAGTGTAGGCGTGAAGAGCTAATGAGGAGCATGTCCCAACATCACCAGAAAAGATTTAAAATGAAATTAGAGACGTAAGGTGAGGCTCTAAAGATCTTAACATTTATCTTCCTTAAACTCAGTCGTGACCCTGTAGCCCCCCAATGCATACCCAAGATGGTATTGATTTGTCAACACACACGTTAATACATTTTCACTTGTTACTTATCCTTAAGTTAACTTAATGTGGTTGTAGTTAAATGCTTAAAACCATTTATGCCTCATGTTCCATTATTGGAAGGGCAGTGCATTGATGTGGGAGTTACTTACATCCTACTGCTCAAGGTCATCTCCCAAGTCTAATTTTTCACTTGTCTGCCTCTTTAGGGTACATGTTATCACATGATGCACATAGTCACTGCTGCAGATACTGGTGGGCTGGGAGCTTGTCAAAAAATGATGTGAATATTTGGAGTTTTTTTGAAGAACCATCCAAAGACAGTTAAATACAACTTTACTACGCTATTTCTTATACTAGTAATTTTTTTCTGTTACTTCTCTCCTAGGTATGCTATTGTGCCATAAAAAGAAAATGCTTAAGTTACTATTACTGTATTAATTATGGGTTTGACATTTTGTGTATTGCAGTTTTGGAGCACTAGGCAGGACTTCAACCATTAGGACTAATACTGTCTTACCCTATTTCCCCCCCTCTTTTTTAGTTGAAATTATTTTACAAGTCTCAAGATGCCTAGAACTCTAAGTTTACATGAAATACCTGACCTGTTATACACAGATGACAGCATAAAAGCAAGTGCTATAGTGATACAACCTGCTGAAAATGCTACAGCACCTGTTTCTGATGAGGACTCAGGAGATGAAGAAGGTGGAACAATAAATAATCTGTCAAATTCTTTGTTGCACACACCAGCATATCTTATTCAAGTTGGCTATGAGGCTGAGTCTGACTCAGATGATACCTCATATGTACCTGAAGATGACTCTCTTGACAATGAAGTTCCATCTACGTCTGCTGCACAGCAACCTCCTTCTTCAAAGAAAGTGACAAAAGTTGCTTGCAAAAGGAAAAAGATGACCTAACTGCATAGCCCAGAGCAAGTAGAGTTATAGAACCACCAACTGATTTCTTCACCAAAATGAGAACTCCCACAGAAATTCTTGAACTTTTTCTTGATTGTTGAACTCATTGCCAGGTACTCTAACTTATACACTGCAAGTAAGGGTGTAAATCTTGGCTTGACTAACTCAAAATTCAAATGTTTTCTGTAAATTATTTTTCTAAGCAGTTACCTCTCAGTTCCTAGAAGGTGTATCTTCTGGCAGCAAAGAACAGATGTGCATAATGTACTTGTTAGTGCTGCCATGATATGTGACCACTTTGAAACTATATTTTCTAATTTGCGTGTTGCTGACAATACAAATTTGTATCCAATGGACAGATTTTCCAAGTTCCAACTTCTTATAAGGACGTTCAATGAGTGATATATGATATTTGTTCCAAATGAGACATACTTCAGTTTTGATGAATGCGTGTTTCCTTATTTTGATTGTCATGGGTACAAATAATTTATTAGAGGAAAGCCAATTTGGTTTGGCTCTAAGTTTTGGGCAATACTATAAATATGCCTGGAAAAAATTACCTGGTTTCAGCTGTATCAAGGTAAAAACTCTAATACTAACCATGAGGAATGCAGCATCAGTTTATCACTTGTCCTTCAGTTTAGTGAGGAACTTACAGAAGCACACCTGGACAATATCATTTTGTATTTGATAACTTTTTCACCACTACTGCACCTCTTGATAATGGGTTCAATGGGACATCAGGCAACAGGTACAATGATAGAGGATAACACTGACAAAACTCTGTTGAAATCAAATGTTGCTCTGAAGAAAAGAAGAACAAGGTACATTCCACTATTGAATTGATGGCAAAGGTAGTATTAGTATTTTGTCTGCAAATGGAGTGATGACAGCATTGTCATCTGGTGCTGGTTTTGATCCCCTGTATCTTCTCCATCGTTATTCCCAGAAACTGAAAAAGAAGATTCAAGTTCAGCAGCCAAACATGATCAGAGTATATAACCATTTCATGGGAGGCATAGACAGAGCTGATGACAACATTGATAAGTATTGGGCCTCAATCTGTGTAAAGAAATGGTACTCAAACCCTGTTTTGTTCTGTTTCAAATTGGTCTTACAAAATGCTTGGCAACTACGTAAAACATATGATGAGAAGCCAGTGGATTTTCTGGGATTTCATTGACATGTGGTAAGCCATTATCTGGAAACTGAGGGTAATCCTCCAGAATCTGACTGAAGAGGAAGACGCTCTAAGAAGCATAACATTGACTCATGTAATGATGGCATGAATCATAATAGTCAAATGGAATACACACACGGTGTGCTAAATGTCATAAGAACACCACTTTGTGAAACATGTCATGTTACCTTACATGTAAGGTATTCTATTGAATACACACTGAATAGCAGGTGTTACCACCTCCTGAGATAAGAAACATGATTTGTGTCAGGAACAGTTAGACACAGAAGACACAAAGACAAATATCAGAGAGTGAGACAAGGCAAGAGTAAAATCAAATTAAAGCTTCCAAATGTCTGGCTCAGCACCTGTGGCTCAAGTGGCTAAGGCAACAGCCACATATACCTGAGCTGGTAGGTTTGAATCCAGCCTGGGCCTGCCAAACAACAACGATGGCTGTAACCAAGAAATAGCCGGGCGTTGTGGTGGGCGCCTGTAGTCCCAGCTACTTGGGAGGCAGAGGTAGGAGAATCACTTGAGCCTAGGAGTTGGAGGTTGCTGTGAGCTGTGATGCCGTGACACTGTACCCAGGGTGACAGCTTGAGGCTCTGTCTTAAAAACAAACAAACAAACTTCCAAATATCTGCAGTCTCAGAGAAATTGAATCTTTCAATATATGGATGCAGGAGATTGCTCTATTCATTCAAGACTTCTTAGTGCACAGGTCTTGTGCATCTTTTGACAAATTCATCTCTAAGTATCTCATAATTTTGATGCTTGATTGTAAGTGGTGTTGCTTATTTAATTTTAATTTGCAATGGTTTGTTGCTAGTATCTAGAAATAGAATTGACATTTACATATTGAACATGTATACTACACTTATGACTTATCCAAACAACTCCTGAGAATTTGGTGGTGGAGCCTCATGACAGGCTGTCTCTGTGACGTGTCCACCAGAATATCCAGCAGCAGCCCCACCTTGGGCCAGCTCTGTGACATTTACTGAAGTAGTATTTGTCCAGTGTTAAGCACTCAGAGCTGCTTGGCCCATATGCCATCACTCTGCAGCGTGAAGCCCTCCCTTAATGACAACTGAGACAGACCCGGAGAGAGGGACAAGCTGAGAAGACACTGGTCAGCACCCTAGCCCCTGCTCAGGAAGCCCCTTGCTATTGATTGCTGAATTCTTGGCACTTTCTGACTCTAAATGGCTTAATAGTCAGAACCATGTTTATTTTCAAAACATGGTTTTGAAATTGAGGCTTGCAAGAGGCTTCTACTCTGTGTATAGTTACATAAATAATCTGTTACTGTTGTGTTTGTTGTATATAGTTATGGAGATAAAATTAAGTCAGGGTATGTGTATAGGAGGAAGAGATCCCAATATTACTACTCTTTTCAAAGTTGGCAATCAATTGATGGTAGTTTGTTACATTGTTTAACAAATACTAAACCTTGTGCTGGTGAGGCACTGGGGGATTATACCGAAATGGTCCAAACACCTCACATTGTAGTGAGTAAGACATGCATGAGCCAACAGTTAAAAACGTCATTTGATACTTGATAAAAGAGCAAAATCAGGGGATGGGAGAGCCACAGGAGCAGCATCTAAGTCAGCTTGGGGAGTCTAATGCGGTGTCCCATGAGGGATGCTTGAGTTGGACACCAAAGGCAGAATAAGAGCAAAGCAGAGGAAGAAGAGATGAGTGCTGCAGGTACTAGAGGCAGGCGTGTTGAGCCCCGTGTTGGGAAGTGATGGGAAATAAGACTTCAGAGCAGTGATTCTCACATGTTAGCTGCTTCAAACTCACCTGAGGGTCTGCTCATAAGCAAATTGGTGGGTTCCACTGTAGAGTGGTTCAGTGGTTCAGGGTGAGGCCTGGGAATCTGCAGTTGTGACAGGTTTTGACAGGCAATGCTGCTGGTACAGAGACCACACTTTGAGAATGACTGCTTTAAGTATAAAATGGAGGAATGGACAGCTCAAGGCCCATTACCAGCCAAACCTCTTGACCATGGCTCCATAGGCTTGACGTTTGGTGCTCAGGCAGAGTGGATCATCTCTGCTGTGCTGGGTTCATTTCTTTGAAGCTTCCTTCCTTCTTAATCTCTTCCTCTGCGACCCTTCAGAATGTATGGTGCATTGTTATTGTTCACTGGTAGTTGGCCACTCTTAAGGGTAGGTGGGACAA